GGGATGCAGTGAGATCTGCTTCGGGGCCCCCCTTTGGTGCAAGATATTTTTTTATCAGGCCCCTCCTTCCTGCTACCAGAGTCCTTTGTTCCTAAGTCTGCACCTTAAAGGAAGTGAGAGGATATCGTTCCAATGTGAGGGAAATCCTCCTAAAGACATTTGTGAACAAGTGTCCCCATTGCAGTATCTTCTTCTATTCTTGTTCTAACCAGTAATATTTCAGGATAAGAAACCAGATGCTACAGGTTATATACTTATCCTACCCTATTAAATGCAGTTTAAACATTTATTGTTCCGGCCATAATGTTGGGGAAAACATAAGTGGCAGCTGGAAATGCTCTATAATGAGTACTTAATGGCTATGTAATCTCAGCTGCTCTTAGTCAGTTCGGCCTTAATTACAATCAGTCATAAAAAACGCATGCGGGAACTACCATTTCTGCCTTGTCATTCCTGATAAAAGGCTCAAAATATTGGTGCAAAAGGGGTTAGCATGACAGCCAGGCAGATAGCATTTTCAGAAGCATTGCTCAGCTTGGGTATTTTGTTTATACTCCGTACCCGGCTCTGCAGTTGTTTGTGTTCTATATTGTTAACTCTGTTCCAACTGAAAACAACCAGTCCTTCTCTCCTAGATTGAAACCCTGTTCAAGGAGAAAGGCTACCAGTTTATGTGGAATCAGCATCTTGGCTACATCCTCACCTGCCCATCCAACCTTGGAACTGGTCTCCGCGCCGGCGTCCACATAAAGTTGCCAAATTTGAGCAAGAACGAAAAATTTGGAGACATCCTGAAGAGGCTCAAACTGCAAAAGAGAGGAACAGGTGAGCAGACAGACATCTGTGCACAGATCGGTGGACCACTGTCCTTTCTGTTAATGGATACATAGTTGCCATGTCGTGCCAAAATGGCATCTCCATGCTATAGGGCTAGAAACGTTGAGTGCCACACCAATGTTACAGGTAAATTCTTCTAGAAAGCTACATTGTAGATGTATACAATCTTTAATTAAAAGGGAACAAGCTGTTATAGCAAACAGTTTTTTTAGGGGTCACAAAAATGCATCTTTCATCAAGGCTGTGGAACCTGTATGGAGGTGGGAGGCAGGACTAAAAAGGGATTCCAAACTTTTAGGCACGCCAGCTGTTTTGCAATGCTTCATGGGTCATGTAGTTCCCAAGACTGACAACCGCAGGCATGACTCCCATGCTAGTGGCATAATAGGATGTGTAGTGTTTCCTACAATGCCCCCCCCCCCTCCAGTGTACATGAGCTTCCTCTGCCAGAGCACTGTGCTTCATGATAGATACTTTAATAGTCTAATTTCGTGTGTTCCCTAACTGGGGAAAGTTTAGAAAGTTTATTTGTTCTTATGATTGCAGGTGTGAATCTAAATAACATTTAGATCATTTTGCTGTATTTAAACAGGATGCACCAATGCCGGTCATTTCAGTACTTGCCAATACAGAGTACTGATAACGGTACTTCTGATGACATAGACCCGGCTTCCCGGCCAATCGGGAAGCCAGGAGGTGGGTCATTGCCTGCCAACTGGCTTTGTGATAGGCCGAGAAGCCAGCTCCTTGTTCCCTTGCGGCACGGAGGGAGATTCCTCTGACTAAGTTCCTGTATCGAGCATTTGGGAGAGTGAGTACTTGCCAAAATACTCGGTATTGGCATTGATACTAGTATCTGTGCATCCCTAGACTGAAGTAAGGAAGCTGCTTGGATAAGCTGAAAAATGTCTTAAATGTTACAGAACAAGGGGGCTACACCCAAACTAGCATACATGGGAGTACTTGGTAAGCCTTAATGTTATACTGCACACACAATCTCCACACCATTGATCAACAAAATGGTGTCTAAGGTCCATTGTGTCACTAGACAACAGAATTGTGCCCAAATTATCAGAAGTCCTCAACTTGCTACCTTGAGTGCTTTGAGGTTGTTGACTCATGGTCCTCCAGCTGAGCAATAGTTTCACATCACGACCATTTTGTTTGTATATGGTGCAGTACTAACTGCTTGTTTTGCATTAGGTGGAGTTGACACTGCAGCTGTTGGAGGAGTCTTCGATGTATCAAACGCCGACCGTCTTGGCTTTTCAGAGGTGGAACTGGTTCAGACGGTGGTTGATGGTGTGAAGCTTCTGGTAGAAATGGAAAAGCGTCTGGAGAAGGGCCAGTCAATTGAGGACCTCATCCCCCCACAGAAATAATTGCACTTTAATGGCCATGCTTTCTAATTTATTGGATCAATAGCCTCACTGAGACCTTGGGACCCGCCTCCTGCTTAGTAATGTAGAAATGTCTTCCATCTGTTCATGGTTTTTCTTCATCAGAGCTTTCTTTCTCAGAGCTCTGATGAAGGGGGCGTGACCCCGGAAACGCGTCATCACACAGTCTCCTCTGCTGACACATAAGAAGGTATCAAAGAACAGCTACATCAATTAAATCTGTAAAAATGGAATGCCAGCCTTACATTCAGCATTGTACAGGCTCCTCTCCTGAAATTGCATACTGGTTTTACTGCACTCTGTAAGTTCTCCTTGTGGATTAGAAGCTCAAGCAAGTCTCATGGAGCCTGCTGCATGCCAAAGAGGCCATCCATATTGATCCCTCTTCCCAGTCAACTGTCTTGGTCCACCATTTTCATTCATTGGAGTTCTGTTTTTAATCCTGAAGGTTCAACATTACATGTGGGTGGTCCGCATGCAAATGCAGTCTGCCTTGGGCAAATGCCAGTCTGTAGAATTGAGTGTTCCATCAAGGCATTTTGCTATATGCATAACTCCTCCCCAGAGTTGGAATCTTGAGTATGGAGGCAAGGTGCTGGTTGTAGGAGGCTATGTACAGCCGGCCCCTCCCACCAGCCATGATCTGCCTATAGAGACGGCGCTCTAGTGATGACATAACTGGGTCTAAAAAAGTAATGTACAGAGGTTTTATCTAAAGAAAAAAAATCACTAACATGTTAAGGGAGGAAACGGGGAATATAAGATTAAACTTTAAGGGGATAATGTCTATTCAGCTGTCATTCTCTCTAGACCTTTTTAACTGATGAGGGCTGTTCAATGACTTGTTTGCCTTGACCCACTGGAAAACAAGGGTTGTTGAGTTGCAATTTTTTTTCCCCCTCCATGCTGAGAGCAGATGGCTGTTGTGTAGGACATGCCATCTGTACCTGTAGAACTGTATGGTCCGTTGTCTGATGGTGCCTCCTTGCACAACCACTCAATTGGCACAGATAAGATCCCTTCATGTAGTGAATGGCTGGTAGATCTGGAATTTCTCAAAGAACAACTTCAGGTTCAGCCAGAAGTGCAATACAATTCTTGACTTGTAGGTAAGTGTGTTGTTTTTGTTTTTTTCCCCCATGGATCTGCTTGGGAACATATGCCAAGTAGGTCCTTCGGAAAACCTGACAATCACAAGAATTTGCAAGTGTACACAACATTGCTCAAGGCTGCTGTCAAAGGGTGGTGGCTCCTAGTGAGCTGCTCTTAGCTCCTAGAGCTAAGAGCAGGAGTTGCATCCTTGAGTATCCTTGACAATGTTTTGCGGTATTTGCAACAGTCCTTCATAGACAAAATGCAGTATCTGTGTCCAGACACCTTTTTTTTTCTCCCTCCACACAACTGCTAGGATAAGAAGTTTCCACTTATGGCATTTTGGCAGCCACCAGAATGATCACTTTACGTATTGTACAGCGCCGACAATTTACGTAGCTCTTTTTACATAATGCACATCCACATCAGTCCCTGCCCTCAAGGAGCTAACGCTCTAAGGCCTATCTTGGATGCTTACAAGGGACGATTAAGACTGGAGGCAATCAACCTACCAACATGTCTTTGGAATGTGGGAGGAAACCCACACAAGCACAGGAAGAACATGCAAATTGCTTTGCAGATAGTGGCCTGACTGGGATTTGAACCAGGGACCCACCAGTGCTGCAAGGCAAAAGTGGTAACCCGTATGCTCACATAATGCAAACCAAACCCTAATCTAGGTGGATATTTTCTTAGGAAAAGACTTGTGGTTCCTGATTGTTGGCAAAAGCAACACAACTATAACTAGGAAAGCAGCATATACTGGACGGCAAACTGCTAGAAAAGTATTCCCTGCATATTGAGGCTAGAGCTACATGCAAGACTTGGCAACTCCAGTCATGGTGCTAAAATTGCAAGAGATTAATGGCTTGGAGCAGCAATTGGTTGCTAAACAGATGAAACGCATGGAAACATGATATGGAGCAATTTACACAGGAAGCCTGTAATCGTGATAATTTTGCTCTTGATTGGAACCTTGTACGATCGTGCGAGATTAAATGTTTGTGGCTTTCATGCGTATGTAGCTAATTGTTCCATTTGCTACTCCTAGCTATTTTAGCAGTATGAAGCTACTAAAAATCTTCTGTTGCCCTAGCCTCAGGATTAAGGGAAAACAAAGTTTAAATGGTTTCTCTTTAGAGCTTTTTCTCTAAAAATCACATGGCAGGCAGTACAATTGGCACTCCTACAAATCTATACACAAGGCCATAATATAGTATTTATTATGCTTTCCTAAAATTGTCCTTAAAATTCATTCACTCATGTCAAAATGTGTAGTTAAAGTGGACCTGGTTGAAATGCAGGAGCTCTACCCTGCTACGTTGCTCACCACGCATTCTGCATGACTACTGATGTAGACATTATGACGGTTTGTTCCAACCTGTTGCTAGACAACTCGATCTCCATGTAAATATGTAGGTAGATTAGGGATGCACCGATACAAAGTACTGTGCTCTGTAAAAGTACAGATACTTTTCGAGCTACTAGACCAGAGAAAAATTCAAAAGTTAGGAGGCAGCTGTCATTTGTAAAGCAAAACAAACGACAAACGCACTCAACAATTTGTTACCAGTTATACAGTAAGGTGCACACGAAATGGATCATTTGTAAGGCGCAGACTGCACTCCTGGGATTTGTACATCTCTGTTTTAAAGTATGGTTTTTATAAATATAAATAAAGGGATGCACTGATACCAGTTTTACAAGTACTGATACATTTTTGTTTATTGTCATGTGACAGTTTTTCTAAACCAATACAGACTAATGATTTAAGGACAGTGGTGGAGCGCCAGAGCCAGGTCCCAGCTGCAACCCTGGTAGTTATCATGAAAATGCCAGGTATCAGCACTGTTATCTGAAAAGTATCGGTGCATCCCTAATGTAGATACAAATAAAGCTATGTGAAATAAAGAATTCATATAACTAACTATCATATGTAACTGCATGCAGTTATTGGGATGGGGTACTTTTTTCTTTTTGAAGGAAATGGTCCTCTAACTCCAGTCTTTAAAAACATTAAAGTGAATGCTTTTGTAATTTAAGTTATGAATACATTTCTGACATGTTGCTTTAGACACAGGAGTAAGCATTTCCTCAGCTTCCTCTTTCCTGGTGTGCAGACACCAGGATTCATATGAATGTCATTGTTGAGTCCAGGAATTAGATGCTAATCGATAGATCCTGTGTGTACCACCACACTCTTGACTGGTATACCCCTTGATATTGGGTGCAGAAGTGACGGCAGATGGCACCGCCAGGGTAGGAATGAATAGTCACCAGCCCAACAAAGAAATATGTGCAAGATCCGTCTTTATTGATGAGTGTAGGCATTATGTTCTTGTGACATGATGCCTATTTATCAAAGACGGATCGTGCACAAATGTATTTGGTGTGCTGGTAACATTTAGTTCCTGCAGGAATTAGATGCTGACCCTGAATAAAGATTGTGCATTCCTTCTGAAGGGGAAAAAAGCAGATGAAGGCATTGACAGGGCAGCATTATGATCTCTGTGAGATAAATGCATGCAAGTATAAATTTGGACATAACTTAGCACGCATGCATGTAACATAAAAAATTAATCTGATGTCAGGTTGACTTTAAACAGTTTGTGCAAAACTCAACATGACATAAGACTAGGGATGCACAGATACTAGTATCGGTGCCGTTACTGAGTATTTGGGCGAGTACTCAAACTCACTTGTGACTAGGGAGCATGGAGCTGGCTTCCCGGCCAATCAGGAAGCTGGGCAGCGTGTAATGATTCGCTGCCCGGCTACCTGATTGGTCGGGAAGCTGGCCAATCAGGAAGCCTGGCGCTGTGTAATGACGCGGCGCCCGGCTTCCTAATTGGCCAGAAAGCCGACTCCATGCTTTCTCGTCACCTTATGACGAGGGAGCATGTAGACGGCTTCACTGCTAATTGGGAAGCCGGGTGGCGAATCTTTACACGCCGTCCGGCTTCCTGGCTAATCAGGAAGCCAGGTGGCAAGTCAATACACTACGCTTGGCTTCCTTAATGGGACATTCGGTATCAGCGAGTACCGGAAAAAAAATATCGGTACTCAATACCGAAAAACCGGTATCGGAGCATCCCTACATAAGACCTTATACCAATGACAGTCAAGCTCTTAGAAAAGCCTTTTTATATTTTTAGCAAGAATTTCCTGTCACGACTTGTCCAGTCTGTGTCCATAGGCTTTGGGTCTCACTGTCACAATTCTGCTGGCGCCAGTCAAGGCTTGAAATTTGCATTACGCTGAGTGCCATTAAGATGTGCTCAACACTAATCCTGATTGAAGTCTACAAAGTCATAATAAAATCCCTCTTTTAAAAACCCACACAGTTAATTACACAACATTTCCTCCGTTACAATCCCCCCCAGGGCCTGCCAACTACAGAAAAAAGTACTGTTCCGTAAATTAATTTCTATGCTAACGAGCAGAATGTTGTTGCTATGGAAACTATGGTAATGTTCCCAAGGTCATTCATCCCTTTGAATATGAATCGGAGCACCTATTAATATTTAACTGCTCTAGGTGACACAGTCGATATACTGAACGTGGCATCTAACATGCCAAAGCCGCTCAAAGTAAGTGCATAGATGACAATCAAACATTGACGTAGGTTTTAATTCTTACCCACTCGATACAAAGCTAAAGTAAAAAAAGTTTTGCCTGGGGTTGGACTTTTTTGATGTGACTGCATAGTTTTGGGTGGACACCATCAGAATCCTGGAGATTAAACCACCTCTTCAGATCCTTGTTTCTGAGACGCAAATTCAATGTTGGTGCGCCGACATTTCTTTCTAGATAGAAGTAAACAAAGTAGAGTTAGGCTTAAAGCGTATCTGAACCCAAAAGCAAAAATTATATATACAGTATATTGCAGCTTGCAAATCCTCAGATGTGGTGACTTCCTTTGCCCCCCCCCCCCCTTTATTTTCACCTGTTGATCCAGACAGTAAGTCTGTTATTTTCCAACTTCCTTTAACAGGCCAAGC